ATGCAAATATGGGCAGGAGTCAGTACATGTCAAATCAAATCAAATCAAATCACTTTTTATTGTCACATCACATGTGCAGGCACACTGGCACAGCACATGCGAGTGAAATTCTTGTGTGCGAGCCCCACAAGCAACAGAGATGTGCAAACACAACAACACAAACGAGCAAAATACAAGAATGGCCAACCTGAAACTAATAAATATATGTACAATATATAATAGTGTATGCATTTCTGGATGTGTATACTAAATATTTTCCTACGTGTGTGTGTGTGTGTGTGTGTGTGTGTGTGTGTGTGTGTATACACATTTTTACAAATTAAATAGTAAAAAAATAAAATAATAATAATAATAATAATAAAATATATAAAATATACAGAGTTGAATATGTGCAAAACAAGTGGCATTTATATACAGTGTGGAGTGCATAATGTTGAAACTGGACAGATGAAAAAGGTATTTAAGAGCACAAATGCAAGGGTGGGAAAACGCTATTCATGTGCATAAATCAGTAGATTAGAAGTCTTTACTATGATAAAGAATAGAAGTCTCTTGCACAGTTAGAACCTTTTGGGGAGGTGTTTCACTGCAACAACACAAAGGTGTCTCAATTTGGCTGTTATAAACCAAAAGATTTGGCTTTTGAGGTTAAGGCATTCCCATTAAAAATTTCCATTCAGGAGTCTTTGAGTGTATTGTCTCTACTTTTTAATGTCTGTGGTTAACAGTGGATTAAAGTTCACTTTGGACATCATCCTGCTGCTGCAAATGCTGAGCTAAAACTGGCCTACTACTGCTCAATTGTCAATTTTAAAAAGCTGCAGTGCTCTGCTTTCCTTGTAATTAAAACAAGCTGACTTGGACCTAAATTTTTTTTCTTCTCTGGGGGTGATTCATGTCGTATTTGTGTTTTGTATTTGTGTTTCTTGGCAGGATTGGGAAGTTCGTTATCATCGCGACACTCCACTGACTCCAAGACAGGATGTGAATGCATCAGACCTTTACATACCAAGTCAGTTTCATGTACACACAAAATCATTCCAGGCATAATGTTTTGGGATGTTTGTGTAACATATTAAGTGTTTGTTTTTTTGTTATTCAAATCTTTTAGCGATGGCTTTTATCACCTACATTTTACTTGCTGGAATGGCTCTTGGCATTCAAAAAAGGTGACTAATCTTTCTTCCACTCATTTGTTTTATGACTCACAGAGAATCGGTGTATGTGAGATAAGCCAAATGTTGACTTTGTGTGCAGGTTCAGTCCAGAGGTCCTCGGCCTGTGTGCCAGCACTGCCCTCGTGTGGGTCATCATCGAGGTCTTGGTGATGTTGCTGAGTTTATATCTGCTGACAGTACACACCGACCTCTCCACCTTTGATCTCATCGCCTACAGTGGATACAAATATGTTGGGTAAATAAATCACAGATGCACATATATTTGCAAAATGATTCTTTATTATTTAGAAATTATTTGCGAAAGCTTCTTCCAGTCATGTATTGTTTTTAAATAAATCATGCTGAATTTACTGAGGGAATGTGTCTGTTTATGTCTTCGTCCAGGATGATCTTCACAGTGTTGTGTGGCTTGCTGTTTGGCAGTGATGGCTATTTTGTGGCGCTTGCCTGGTCCTCCTTTGCGCTCATGTTCTTCATTGTGAGTATTTTCAGTCTGTATTGACGGCATTCTTCAAATCTAAAGTTTATAAGTTTGATGCACTGGAGTATTTACATTTCGTCAGTCTAAATGAGTTGTGTTTAATTGATTTCCTGGCCCAGACTGTAAAGTGAGTCACACTGCTACATCTATTGTCTGATAATCTTTTTTTTTTTTTTTAAAGAAAAAAAATGCCCTTATTTTATTTCTTGTTCCTTTTTCCTGTGTTATTTAATTGTCTCTTACTTCACCGATACTTAGGCACAAAAGACAGTACAAAGTTCAAATTTTGTGCGCTCCCCTGCCGTTTTCTCTTTTTGCAAAGCCGTGCAGTGGGCTGAATAAAATTCCAGGCGGACTGCCTAACAAGCAGAAGAGCCCCGGTTCAATCCCAGGAGGAGACAAAAATCCCATTGGGTTGCATCAGGAAGGGCATCCGGCATAAAAATTGCCAAATTAAACATGCAGTGCTTACCCGCTATGGTGACCGCTGTGAATAAGAAACCAGCTATGTAGAAGGAGTAGCTTCTTTTTCTCACACTTTTAAAAAGAGAATGATAAATGGTAACGAATCATGCCCCTTTTAAAAAATATTTTCAAAGTTATGTTTTTATCATTTAACTCACTAAAACTACAATTAATGGAAAAAAAGAAACAATACCCAAAAAAGGCAAGAAAAAGCAGATTAGTAACCAACATTTACATTCATGCAAAATGCGTACACATCCATACATTTTTCAGATATTTGTTGTTTTTCCAGTTTATCATGTGATGGGGTGTTTACTTTAGTGGCACACTGATTTTAAAGCTCTGGGTCTGTATTGATATTTGAATTAATAATAGCTGGTGCCAGTTTAGCCTTATTGAGTTGAGCAGGTGACTGCATGCTGCAAGGCTCAATACAGCAGGCCGCCTTCAAGTCTAATCCGGGACCTTTTGCTGCATGTCATTCCCTACTCATGTCAAAAGTTGAATGAGTAATAGTAGTAGCAAAGACTTAAAGTATGGGAACAGCTGATGCAGAGAATTAGTCAGCAGAAACTTATTAAAGATACTATCAGTTTGCATAAAGGTTAAAGCTGCTATCACACATTGGTAAGTATTGTCTTTGACGTGCTGTTAGACACAGACTGAATCTGCTTTCAATCTATGTACTTCTAAAGATTTTCCTTCTTCCACAGGTTCGCTCTCTGAAAATGAAGATCCTCCCCTCGCTGTCCTCGGACTCTATGGGAATGGGATCGAATGCCAAACCTCAGCTCCGTCTTTATATCACTGTTGCATCTGCGCTCTTTCAACCAATCATTATTTACTGGTTAACCTCTCACTTGGTCAGGTGACTGTGAGGTGTTCAATAGCCTATAGTCCAGGAGTAGTGGACCCCAAAAAAAAATGTGGTTGTGAGTGTTTGTATACCTGCCTTTATACGCTCTTTTGTCATTAAACTCAAAGCATACATAGATGGTGTTGAGTGCAGCGTGCACTGAGCTTGTTGTTGATTTAACAAGAAAGTGTGAAACGGAAATTGTCTCATCCACCGTAACTGTACAGAACTCTGACAGACGCTTATTTTTTGCCACCTAACCTTGAACAAAAGGGCTTTCACTGAGAGATTTGCTTGATCAGAACCGATATGGTTCAGATCTACTTTTGTATGAAGGCTCGCAACATGCTTTTCAGTATTGACGTTGCACACATGATTCCAGTAACATATTTTGTTTCAACGGTAATGCTGCTGCATTATCTCCCTTTCTTCTGAATCCTCTATTTTATTTATCTACATTTGACAAAGCACGACAATGTTTGGATTTTTCTAGAAAAAATAAATATATTTAGCTTTGTGTACTGAATTCAGACTGCTTCTTTTTGCTTTTTGCTTCAGGTCTTAACAGTATAAATGGCAATGTAAGGTGTAATAGCCTACATTTAGAATTCATTAATTTTACTAGAGGTTAAATTAACCTTCATTAACTCAATTATGCACTTGACTATAATGGTGTTACTTGAATTGTACTCAAGTATTTTGTATCAGCTGCGGTGGCGTCCACTCAGTAAAGAAGTGAGCAGCTGAAGGAAATTGCCTTCTCTTTCCATTTAGTGCTAATTGAACCGTACAGCAGTTAGTTTTACCTTAAACCGGGTGTTTGGTTGACATTTGCAGATTCAAAACATCCAAACCTGCATTTGGAAAATTGCTGCTAAGACATTAATGCATAAATGAATAATTACACAAGATTTAGCATGTTATATAACAGTAAACCTAACTAATGTTGTTTGAACCACAAATTCCTGAGATATCCTCAGTATGTTAAAATTCCAGAGCACTGTTATTCTGCCTGTGCAGAACATGGAGACAAGTAGTGTAATATAATGTAATTGTTGGCATTAGATTCAGATTTATTTGTCCTTTTGGAAATTCCATTTGTGCCTTTTATCAAATGTAATCACAACAGTAGAGACCTCACAGTTACCAACAATAAAGACATAAATGGCAAGAAAGTTCTGCTGTAACATCACCAAAAAGCAAACGACGATGTGTAAGTGACACCCATATCACACTACATCATATACTCTCACCTGGATTTGTTTTACAGTTATACTACAAGTCCCCTGGCCACAAGATGTTGGCAGAGGTTGGACCGTGTACTTCCATGCTAATGGTAGTAAAGTGAATCCACCATGAACAGGCTGTGATGGATCTCTGAGGATGTCTCATCTGTTTTTCAGTACTCATGACTCCTAAAGTTGCTAACATCCAATCTTACAGCCCGTGTTTACAATCTTATTGAGTTTGTAATTATTAACTATGAAAAATGAAAAATACCAGTCAATAAAACATAAAGCTAGAATGATTTCTACAAATGAATAATAAAAAAGAACCAGTGTACCCCGCCTCTCACCCTAAGACAGCTGGGATGGGCTCCAGCGCCCCCTGGGACCCTGATAAGCGGAAGCGAATGGATGGATGGATTTCCTGTTTAATGTGTTATATATTGGTGTAGTATGGTAGGCTATAAGGGATGGTTTTGTCAGTAAGAGACCTGTAAAACAACCACTTTTCAGACTCTTGGCTCCTGATGTTCAGACTCTTATTATATGACTCATCTGTAGCCGCAAAATACAGTCAGGAGTTTAAAATGTATGTCCTTCTGCTCTGTAATTTTCACGTGTTTCAAAGCCATCCTGTGGGCCGGACTGAACACTTTGGCGAGCCGTTTCTAGCCCCAGGACCGTATGTTTAATATCCCTTGTCTGCCGCCTGTGGCTGGTGTCAGACCAAATGTTGTGGGAACGCGCCCGGATACGCGCACCCTGCACAGCGTCCTTATGGTGTCCATGGAAACCACGGACCGCCACAGAGAGCGGAGTGAAAGGTGTCCGAATGAAAGTCTACTTCTGAACGTCAGGATTTCACCTTTAACTTTTTTTTTAACGACATCGACATTTAAGAGGAGGCAATTCCCACCATAGTCCCTGCTTTGGTGATTTGGTGAGTAACCAGTTTATATTATACGTTTGAAAGACTAGCTAACAGCGCCGAGCGGGTCACCTGTGAGGGGGGAAAGGCGGCTTTCTACAATAGCTAAATGAAACTTTATATTGTTCCGCCATTTCCCCGCTGAACTGCTTTGTAGAACCATGTGGCTTCACACAGAAACCTCCGGAGCCTTATAAGAGTAGATTAGACATGCTATACGTGTATTATTGGCCTTCGTTTTGTTTTGTTTTTTTAAATGTTTAATAATCCTGGTCATGGTCAGTAGATTACGATGAGCAGTAACTTTCTCTGGGACCTGCACTTGTTCTCTGACTTCGTTTGCCTTTATTAAACTGGAGCAGTAGGAGTGGACTTTGGACGTTTAGTGGATGCTCATCAGAGGGGAACGGGTGGCAAACATTTACCTGCTATGGAGCTCTTATTTTCCAGCATTTTCAATATTTTTGTTTGTGTGTGTGGTGATCTAGTATGTTTGGCTTTTATTTTCATCTATGAAGAGGTAGCAGTTAAAGTCAGGTATATTATACCTGAAAAGAATAAACAACAACTCATAAATACAGGTACAGTCCTTGCTGTTCCTGCCTGTCCTGGAAGCAATTTGTATCTTGATGACTTCATCTTTCCTCTCTCTGATTCATTTCAACCTCATCTTTCAGCTGCATGACCCTGGAAGCTTCGCCCTGAGAGTGAGATGGAAAACAGCTCTCATACACTGCCACTCTCGTGCCCCTCTCCCGCCACTATCAGAGGGCCTCTGCCGTTGTCCTCCTCACCCCAGCATACCTCCTCAAATGGTCGCATTTCACTGCCACTTTCGCCTATCTCTTTCCCGCCATCCCCAGCCTCATTTTCCCCAGCAACAGCAGAGTCTGTTCACTCCTGCTCCCCTCTTTCACACTTTACAGTGTCTCATTGCCTCGAAGGACAAAGCCTAGCTGACCAAGATGACCTCACCTGTCTCAACTGGCTTCATCAAAGAGGGGATCTGCTGCCACTGCAGCCCCTCACCAAAATGACACTGCTGCCTCAGCAGGAGCCCTCCGTGGCTTCCCAGCTTCTTCCCGCTGCTTCGTCCAAGCCGCCGTACTCCTTTAGCAGTCTGATTTTCATGGCAATAGAAGATTCGCCACAAAAGAGGCTTCCAGTGAAGGACATCTACGAATGGATTGTGAACAATTTCCCCTACTACAGGACGGCAACGGGTGGCTGGAGGAACTCTGTCAGACACAATCTGTCTCTGAGCAAGAGCTTCAGACGCATTCAGAGGGACAAGAGCCAGGTGAGTGCTTAAATAACAGAGCAGCACCAAACTCATTGATCTAAGTGAACTCTTCATTGAATCCAGATGGTCTGAATTCAAAACATTGGTTACAACTCCCAAAAATGACTCGTGCAGGGTTTTTGAAGACTAACATCTGTTACATGGATTTGTTTCTTTGTTGCAGTCAGTGGGGAAGGGATCACTGTGGTGTGTGTGTCCAGAGTACCGGCCAGCGCTCCTAGAAGTGCTCAGGAAGACCCACAGTTATCACAGCAATAACAGCAACCTGTTACACAAGCCTGCACTGTGAGTATCTGCAATATGGATTTGTAAAAATTAGCTTTTGTGCCCCATACTGAGGAACGGCCAGAAAATCCAAAGTGTTCAACAAGAAATGAGTCACATTTCTTTTCTTTATATTTTACTCTGAAAATGGGGAAATACAGACAGAGATATATTGAAATATGTGCAGACATACATGGAAATATGGGTACTTTTTAAGGCTTGAATGATTCATAGGTCAACGTAAAAATTCTTCTGAAAATGGTCAGGTACAAAACCTGGAGTGTGAGTGACTGAAAAGGCAGCCAGTGTCCAAAGAAAAACTTTGAAAGACGTTCAGAGAGCTGCGAGAACTATTGGACAAGACTAATTTTAAAAATTAAAGTAAATTCGGCTACATGGAAGCAAAATAACAATTTGAGGGTGGCTCAATATTTTTGCATGATACGGTAGTTGATGTGTAAAGGATCTTTAATTTTAAAAAGAAAAATATGCAAACATTTACAGGCATCGACCTCTCTTAAGGATTTGCTGCCTTTCTAATGAGTTTTTAACACGGTGCTGGTGAAACATTAAGGGGCTTCCACACAGGAAGTGACTCGCAGCAATGTGGTTTTCAGAGAAGTCATGACATTCAGTGACTTCGAGTGACAATGGTCCCAGGTTAAATCTTTCTCAACTCCTCTGGTCTCCATGTCATTGCTGATGCAGTCTTTTTGCACCTGTAAATGAATCATTGCACTGGAGTCTCCTCTGACTGGAACTGAAGGTGATGCAAAACGCTGACTTTATTAAACTAAATATTTGGGTATTCCTTCACTATCTTTTGCCTTTTTTTAAAAAATTGGCAAACATATTAACTGATATATTGCAGAAGTAAGATGAAATATCATCTACAGCTGTCGTCGTACATGCTATTTTTCTTTTAACACAGTATATTTCTCTCCTTAACCACCACATCAGTAAAATCTAATATGCGTCTAGTGGAGGAGTGTTTCTAAATAATTTTACATTTTAATGGCTCTCTTGCTGTGATGTGTGTTGTGCGCAGGTTGGAGGGAGAAAGCTACAAGATGCCTGCTGCGTGTGATTCGATGGAAATATCAGGTCAGGACCTACATACTGGACCCGGTATGAAATTGTTTCAGTCGTTTTATCTGCAGAGTAACAGCCCTGTGTGACACTTTTATCACCTGCAGCTTGTCTGTAGCTTTGCAGCTTTCCCAGCATGCATCATTGTTCCTGTGTTTGTGTTCTGTTCTCATGGAAACTGCCTTCCATTACCTTGGCAACCCAGCAATAGCCTGGCTTTTTATGAGTGCCCCCACCCCACCCCTCCGTTTTATTTCCGAGCCTCTTTGCCATACGGGCCCACGTCCTTGCTAAAGAATCCCGCAAGTGGTTGTTCGGCCAAGCTGCAGGACGATGGGTTATTAATGTTAACGTTGTCTTTCTCATGCAGATCCTCTTTCTCACTCCCTCCTCCTGTCTGCCGCCGACAGTCCGATTTTAGCCGAAAACCCGCTGTGCCTTCTGACCCCGGATCACGAGGAGCTCGTCACCATGGAGTCTGTGGAATACCAGCAGGAGGAGGTGTGCGAAGACATGGAGAAGGACCCCCTGTCTGACAGCGGCTACATCGAGCTGCACTATTACGAGTCTCAGCAGTACCAGTACCTTGTGCTGCCGGACGACACTGAGCTCGACCTGGAGACTGTGGAGATCCTGCAGCTTGATGCCGAGGCCCAGGAGGCCGCCGGGTCACTGCTGGACCTCGCAGGCGGTGGATATTAGTTCAGATCCTCAAAGAAACCGTCCTGGGATGACAACACTGCCCTATAGCCTGTTTACTGCCCTGTAGTGATATTACAGTATAGATCGAATTAACTGATGGAGTATCGTTCCACATAATTTCAGGCTTCCAGTACACAAGCTGAATATATCACCATAGCATCCCATCCAGCCTGAACAGAGCCTTCAGGGTGTAGAACTGAGACAAAAGTATTAAAAATGAAGTGATTCCACAGTGATTTTTTAACATGTTAACATCGTTCTCAGGGGTGGAAGGAGTGCTTCGAGCTCAATACAGAGTGCTGCTTCTCGACTGAGAGGTTTCCCAAGTTCAGGTGTGACTAACACGCTGTTGAAATCTTCACGTTTAATGTACAGCGAACAGCACATTGACTCACTTCCACATCGTTACCAGTAAAATATGAGTATGTGTTACCCTCTTTCAGTTGTTCTAAGCAGTGACCATCTTTTCTTTCTAAGAAAGTTTCTGTAGGACATTCAAAGTAAACTGTAGTTGACAGTCTTTGTTGTTTTCAGCAACACTGTTGCTTTGATAGTTGAAGACAATAGATAAAAATAATTTATAATGTAGCTGTGATTTTAGATTGTACTTAAGAAGTACAGGGAAGCACTTCTATTCAATTCAATTCAATTTAATTCAATTTTATTTATATAGCCCCAAATCACAACAAAAGTCGCCTCAAGGCGCTTCATAGATACATTACCTTGGCAACCCGGCAATAGCCTGGCTTTTTATGAGTGCCCCCACCTCACCCCTCCGTTATAATAAGTACTTCGAATTTTATTTCTAATGGTTTTTAATGTCCATTATTTTCAAGATTATCTTTGCTTGAGTTTATTTTATTTGCACAATGTCTTCAATCAGGAAAGGTTTGATTGACTCACTGCCATTTTAACCACTTTACATGTCGGTTACACTGAAATTCTCTTCATAAATTGTATGTATTTACAACATCTTTGGGTTTTATAATCTAATAAATAAAATATGTGATGCCCTTCTTCTGAGCTGTGCATTGGTTGTTATAGTTTTGTTTTTATTTTTATTTTTAATGTTTGTTTTCCGCTTCAGTGAGTTTGCTTGGTTTGGTTTAGTTTGACTTGGTTAAAATAAGTCTTTAGTATTAATGATAATGTCAAAGTTATGATTCAAGAAATTCAGAATAGATTTGTACAGGACAAATAAAACATTTTGTGCAGCCAGTGTATTCACAGTTTTAATATGTGCACCAGTGCCTCTGTGTACCGCACTGGACCCCTACATGTGAGTGGTGGGCATGTAGCTCTGTGGGCTAACGCCTAAACATGAGGCACTTGCCCCAAAACAGCTTAAGAGCTATTCTACAATTATGGGGCATTTTCTTTTCCAGCCATGAATTTGAAAATAGTCCATGCACAAAATACTAAACATACATTTGTTGTGTGCACCTGAGACAAAATGCAGACCCAGTTGTTGAAAAAGTGGTTCCAAAATATTATTTCAGCACCTCAAAAAAGGACATTTATCTTTTGGCCCAACTTCTTGATAACCAAATTACTTTTCGTATATAATTGTTTCAATATTTTGTTTACACTTATAATTATTTTGCTGATTTCTTTAAGATCAACATATTTTAAAGATCAGTAATTATGAACTGCAAGTTATGTCCCACAACATATGTGCCACCCTGTGACCGAAACTTATGTAGCCTGGAAGGGGAAGAGATAAAACAGTGAGCCGGCATGGCAAAGAGGAAGTGGCATGAACATCATGGGTAGACCAAAGGTCACTTCTCTTTGACATTTTTGCATTTTTCTTGACTTTTCTGATTAGATTGAATGTGTCACTGTAACTAATGCAACCATGTTACCCAATTTACCAGAAGAGGACAAATGAAAGGTTCCTTTATTTTTAAAAACTACGTTTATCCTTGACTTTCAGTCCATTACATGCCATCTGGGTTTTTTCTGAGAAAACACTAATACTACCACTATTGCCTTTGTAATAGCTTGAATTATTATATAAAAGATTGCATTTTGAGCAAAGATTTTAAAATAAATACAGAAATTACTGACGAAAACGTGCGACCCTTGAAAAGTTAGATTTCAAAATTTTCTTAAATTGATATAAATTACGTTTTATCGGAAACTGAATAAGTATTTAGTAATGAAGCATGCTATCATTTATTAAATTGTCTACTTCGGGTATTGGTGAGATGCACCAAGGATCCACGACTGAAACACTTTTGATGCCTGAACTGTACAAATAGAATTTTTTAAAAGTTCAATATTTGTTTTTAACTGAAAATTATAACATAAAGGGTCCAGTAGTCCATATTTTAAAGCCCAAATGGGCTATGGGTTAATAGCTAGAAAAATCCATAAATAGAATAAACAGGAGAATTAAAATAAAAGAGCCCAGTGAATACAAATGTGATTATAAATCAGTAGGCAGCTTAGCAAGTAAAAAACAAAGTAACTACAGGTATGAGGAAGGAACGATTCCCTCTGTATGTCGTTGTGGTTGGTTTTTGTTTCTTTTCTAGTTAGTTTGACTGTTTGTTTAAAAATAATAATCTTGTTAGCTCTAAATGTTAATTTTCTGAGTCTATCGGCTTCAGGTTTGCTTTAAAATGCTGCTGGATAAGTTTCGGTGTCTCTGTGTGATGAGCTTTATCTGGTGGCTTTAGAAACAGTGATCGGCTGCACCGTGAGAGGGCGCAAAAGCCACGGCTTACTTAACGCAGACACACATATATGACAATGAAAACAACGCAACGCAACGCAAACAAAACAAAACAAACCCCTTTGGAAACCTGCTATGTATGTTCGGTTTCCTCTGCGCAAATCCTTAGGCTATCATTTGTATAAACGCAAAACACCCGGCACTGTTTTACATTACCTGTCTGGTAGTTCCGTATTCGTAACTTGAAGGTAAAAACTACATTTCCCAGAGCTGTTGGATATTTGGCTGATTGGGACGTGTAGTTCACAGAGACACTGGAGCGCCGGCAGGGAAACTTGTTTTAACACTACATTTCCCGTGTGGCGTTTCGCAGGCTGGAGGCAGGAAGTGTGTGGAAGTTTGTTGATGGAAAAAAGTTCTCATGGTTATTTTCATGCCAGTGTAAAAAGTTACGTTTCTCTGGTTTGGCGACTCTCAGAAGACTGTGCTGAAGCTGTTTGGAGACACCAAAGGTAACATTAAATCACTAAACAGGAGCTAAGGAACGCAGAAGCGTTTTTAAAAGCTAGTTTCAGATGTTTTACCACTTTTTTAAGCTAACAACGGTAACGTATGTCATCGTTTTGCTGGTGTTTGAAAGCTTGTAGCCACACAAGAATTTAGCTGCATCCGTTAACTTGTATGTTAGCTCAGTGGTTGTGAGCTGTAGTTTGTTATTTAGCTTTTCGGTGAAGTTCACGTCGATGTCAGTACAGTTCGGCTTAGCTGTGCTCTTCGCAGTGTTGTCAGTTTAGCGCTAATATCATGTAGCTTCGTCATAGATCAGTCTAGTAAACTTAGTTTATCTCGTGTTTAGATTGCAAAGTGCAAGCAGATTTTGTCTGAACTGCATATTTTTTTCTGCTTGTTAGCATCGAGGCGTATGAACAAAGTCACTGCTGAGAAATGGTTGGTATGCTGCTCCTCACCGCCACACCTTTGAGGTAGTGAGCTTTAACCGAAAGCAGCCTGCTTTCTGGGCATTATGAACTTGTATCCAGACACCTCCCTGTCTTACTCATCGCGGGAGAAGACATCCACCCCGCAAAATCAGCGACAGTGGAGTGTATTGAAACCATCAGAGTAGCAGGGAAAGCATGCTTCAGGCAAAGCAACGTGACACCCATAAGAGGAGCCCTCCGTCAGCTTCACACAGAGCCTGATATTGTCCCTGATGGAGGGACCAGTGCATGCCTGATTTCTGTCAGCAAGCCCAGGAAGCATAAGTAAAGTCTTAGTGAAGCTGGAGAAGTCTGTTGTCATCATAATTCTAACTAATGATAAATGAAGCTTTCCTAATAGTTTTCTCATGACCAACTTGAACACATTTTTGAATGATTTCTTTTCTGGTGATAGGCAGACATAGGAGATATTTTCTCGTTAGCTTCTCTAGTTTGTTAGCACAAATGTCATAGGATTGTATCAGTATTGCACAAATATGTTGGCTGATTTTGTAACTCGGTATATCAGGTTTTTGTGGGCAAACTCTACAAGACGAGTGCAACAAAGAACTGAAAGGCTTTAATACAGTTGAGGTATTATTTATTTGTAAAGACAATTGAACCACTTTCCTGTCAAAAAGGAGAAGATTTAAAAATAAAACAAAAAACATACAGAGGCCCAGAATTTAAAAATCAGTTTATTACTACCCTCACTGACCATTTTATTACTGAGTTGGACCTACTTTTTGGTCTCAGAGCTGTCTTAAATCTTTGTGGCATATCAAGGTACTCGAAACATTCCTCAGAGATTTTGGTCCATGTTGACATGATGGCATCACACGGTTACTGCAGATTTGTTGGCTGCACATCCATAATGCGAATCTCCTGTTTCATCCTAAAGGTGCTCTGTTGGCTTCAATATGGTGTAGATGCCAAATATGGACTCATTGTCATGTTCAGAAAACTTCTTTGAGATTATTTGAGCATTGTGACATGCTGCATTATCCTGCTGGAGGTGGCCATCAGACGATGCACTGCACTGTGGTCATAAAGGGATGGACATAGTCAGCAACAACACTCAGGAAGGCTGTGGCATTTAAACAGTGCTCAGCTATGCCAAGAAGATATCCCCCACAACATTACATCACTGCCACTAGCTGGAACTGTTAATGGATCTGTGCTTTATTGGTGTTTATGCCAAATTCTGATCCTTCAATCCAAATTTTGCTGCAGAAATCGAGACTCGTCATCAGCCCCGGCAAGATTCTTGAGCCTCTGTGAATTGTAGCCCCTGTTTCCTATTTATCTGCCGCAACCGGTTGGGGTGATGGCAGGATGACAAGATAAATTTATAGATGCTCCTCTGCATACCTTTGTCGTAACAAATGCCTATTACTAATGTCTTCCTGTCATCTCCAGACAGTCTTGTTTTTCTGCTCCAGCCTCACCAAGCACATTGCTGCTTACTGAATAGTTTCTCTTTTTCCTGAAGATCCTTCATATCATCTTCTGCAAACCCTACAGATGGTTATGTGGGAAAATCCCAGTAGATCAGCAGTTTCTGAAATACCAAGAACAATTTAATGTTCCAAGTAGTATGATTGTTGCTATATAATAATGTTCAGCTAAGATGCACCAATCTATTGCCCAATATGTTGGAGTATATCGTGTCATATTGCATGTGGCAGTGTCACAGGTGAATTTCATCTGTTGCTTCATTAGTTTTTCTCTGATTTACTGTTCGAGAATGGCATAGTATAAACTTGTTTTTTCTTTTTTTCAAGAAAAAAAGAAAAACATTCAATTATAAAAAAATTAATAATTAGTGTTGATTTTATTTTGGTGTTTCTTTGTTTGTGATCTCGCACAGGGACCAGAACATCAAGAATAATGGGGAGCGAACCAGGCCCAGTTCAGATTGTCAATGTCTGTAAGGACGATCACTCTTTCACCTTGGAGATCAATGCTTTGAGTCAGATCCTGCTGAACCCCAAGGTCCGAGACAAACGTGTTGTGGTGGTGTCAGTGGCCGGAGCCTTCAGGAAGGGGAAGAGCTTTGTGCTCGACTTCATGCTTCGATACATGCACAGACAGGTGAGTTGTGCTGTAACCCGATCCTTCAGCGTGTCTCATCACCATATCTCTGTAAGATCAGCTGAAGTTCACTTCAGAGATCAGCTGAAGTGCACTTACAGTATCAGATGCTGGACTCTCACTAAGCTTCAGAGCAGGATGCTAGAGACTGATTTTTGTCCTCAAGGTGTGATAACCTGCAGAATTAGTCCTGGTGTGTGGATTGCATGAGGACTAACTAACATGTGAACTAACTAGTTTACTGACTAGGAGTAAATGAGAATTTTGCCATGACCACTAAGGACTAGAGTCTGTGAATGCCCTCTCTTAACTTTATTACTTTTATTCATTACTTTTACCATAGTGCCACTGTCTGGCCTCACAACATGACTATTATGACATCTTTCAGTCACTGAACACTTTACACTCCACTGGGTACTTATTTGTTATGTAAATTATTCAAAACAATTGGGATCTCCATTCATAATTTAGGTTATGGCTGAGTGAATAGCACCGAAGCTTTACCTGAAGGCCTCGGCTTTGCTGTGATGGGGGTTTAAAAGTGAAGTTTGCATTTCTGTATCAGGACGAGGAGAAATGGATGGGTAACGATGACGAGCCTCTGACCGGGTTTTCTTGGAGAGGAGGGTCAGAACCGGAAACATCAGGCATCCAGCTGTGGAGCGAAGTTTTCCTTGTCCAAAAGAGCGATGGTGAAGAGGTACTTGAACATTTATGTGTGATTATTTGTTTTAAGAGAGTAAACATGTAAGCACTCAGATTTACTAATGGAATTAATATTGAAATATTGAGTTGATGTTCATTCATTGTTTTAGATTTTCAGTGCCACAGTAATTTCTGGTCTCAGCCTTTCCTCTAACCTTTAGTCTGTGCTTATGACTTTATTACTCTAGCTGTATAAGAATAAAGCACATTTTGTAGGTTTGTATTTTATATAACAAAGGTTTATAAGTGCAGTGGACAGATCCCTGCATGCTGCAAATGTCACTGCTACAAAGAGATGAGCTGGTTTCTGTCAGCCTCCAGCAAAGTTTAAAAGCAATCTTCTAAATTTAGACCAAGCGGTTCATCTGCCTACAGGCGTCTTTAGCTGCTTTTTCTGAAAGCAGCTAAGATGGACTTTTTATACCCAATCACAACCTTGATGACCTTGACCTCAAGGTTAGAGGTCAGCCATCTGTAAGCTCTATATGTCTATAATCATGTTTTGTTTCTAAATTCCTTGCATTCCTCATTTCTGCATGCATGTTCTGCATATTTCAGTTTCTCTGCCACACCTCAGATCAGTATAAAAGTTGAATGAATGAAAGCAAGGTTGGGCAGTGGTTCAGATGCAGTGACTCATTAATACACATTACTGTTTGGAGTATTGTGCCTCCTTGTATTTAGTGTTTCGCTCACATAGAGTTAACTTTGCCAAGCTGCCTAGGTCCACTAAGGAATGTTAAAGTATATTTGTCAAACCTGTTTTAGAAATTTTTTTTATGTCTAATTTCTCATCCATTGCCATATTTGGTCAGGTTACTGTGAAAGATCCCCTCAATATTATTTGTAAATTATTATTACTGCTAACTAGCTTGTCCAAAACCTTTTCATTCTATGTTTCACTCCTGTCTGGCTCACTGCCCAGGTCCTCAATATCATGCAGAGTCTCTTATCTTGCAGTCAGATGCCCTCTAACGCCACTGTCTTGAACTGCGATGGTAGTTCTGCTCTCTGAACCGCTGCAAGCTGTACCAGCAGCTGGTGGAGAACTGCTTCATATGCCACTGCACTGAGCTTGTTGAGGTTTCAGAGCGAAACTGGAGCCAGTCTAAAATCTGAAATCTGAGCACATGTCATAGCACGTGATTCCTACATTTACCCCATCTTCTCCCTCTCTGCTGCTGCAGGTGGCTGTGGTGTTGATGGACACTCAGGGAGCGTTTGACGACCAGTCCACTGTGAAGGACTGTGCCACCATCTTTGCCCTCAGCACTATGACCAGCTCCATACAGGTGACGATCTGCTCCGAGCATCACTAAATCAGTATTTTCTTGATACTGTTGTAAAGTGTGCCAACATGTTTTTGTCTTGTTTAGCTCTACAATCTCTCACAGAACATCCAGGAGGACGACCTGCAGCAGTTGCAGGTCAGTTTGGATTGGTGTTTGGAAAATCCCACCAAAGATTTTAAGCTCCAAACGATTAAATCTAGTTACTATTTAGACTTAGACTCTCACACATAATACTTTCCTCGTGGTGCTGGCTCTGATATTGTATTCATTCATTCATTCATTCACAGCAGCTACTTTAAGGAATCGACTTTTAAACAGTTTTGTTTGGTGTACTCTGTTATGCTCATGCGTTTTATTTCATACTTGAAGTTTTTCTGCATCTAATGGAAGTAATTTCACTGCCTAACATAAGTCACGTGCCACATTTTTTAATTTCACTGTTAATTTTCCATTATGGGCATCGCCTCCTCCTCTTTCTCCTTGTAGCTGTTCACAGAGTATGGTCGTCTCGCCATGGATGAGATCTTTCAGAAGCCCTTTCAGGTATGAGAAACAATGACATTCAGTGATCTGTGGGGGTTTTTTTTGTTCTCTTGTTCTCTAACACGTTCTCTCTCCTCCTGCAGTCTTTGATGTTTCTGATCAGGGACTGGAGCTTTCCCTACGAGTACAGCTACGGGTTCAAAGGCGGGAATCAATTCCTGGATAAACGGTTACAGGTACCAGCCACGTGTTGATGATTTGGCAGAGTATCATGAATGCACTGTGGCTGTGAATTTTTATGTAACTGATCTGAAATGATGAGTTTCAGCAGTGCTTGTTTGTTTGTTTTTTATTTCTTTGTTTGCTTGGTTGGTTGTTTTTTTTTTTAGGTTAAGGAGGCTCAACACGAGGAGCTGCAAACAGTCAGGGAGCACATTCGTTCATGCTTCACCAGCATATCCTGCTTCCTCTTACCTCACCCTGGTTTAAAAGTTGCCACCAGTCCTGCCTTTAAGGGACAGCTCTGCGGTAAGGTCTTCGGGTTTTTGTGATATTTTTAGTTGGATGGCCTTCAGCAGAGTGCACTCCTGAGTTTAGGTTTTTGTTCTTAATTTATTGTTATTTATTGTCAGATGTTGGTCCTGAGTTCAGAGACCAGCTGAAGATTTTGATTCCCAAACTGCTGCATCCAGACCGTCTGGTGGAGAAAGAAATAAATGGAAACAAAGTCACATGCAGCGGCCTGCTCGAGTTTTTCAAGGTGAGATCACAATCAGATATTTACAGGCCCCCTTTTTTTTAGTTCATTGGCTAGAAATGTTAAATATTTCCTTTACTTTACCTGCTCTGAAGTTTTCTTTTTCTCTGAGTATAAAGAAGCTCATTTTGAAGCTGTTCACCTGAGCTAGAGACAGGGTTTAAAAAAGAAACAATGGGGGGAATGGAAAACATGTCTTAGCCCACTTCCTTTAAAATTTGCCAGATGTTTTGAGTCTACTGCCATCCTGTGTCTATTACTGTTTATAGATCACAGTGAAAAGGCACAAAATCCTCATGTTTTTTGTAACTAAATATTAGTCTATGATTTTACGGTTCAAACAGCTCGTCTACTTCTAGAAACTTTCCTTCTGCTTTGCAGTTGTAGAAATAGAAACATGTCATGCCAGTTAGCAGGAATCTCAACAATGGCTCTGGACAGGTTTCAAGCTACCAAGATCAAGTATGTAAGGAAGTAAGTAGTAAGGAAGTCCACCCACCCATCTTATTCCAGTTACCCAGTTCAGGGTTGCGAGGGTGCTGGAGCCTGTCCCCACTGGGGGGAGAAAACCATAATTGTGATTTCAAGAGCCACCAGGATATTTAAAAAAGCTCAAATTAAGTTTTATTAAACTTTTTCCTTGTATGTTACATTTACACCAACACGGTCAGCATCTGTGGCTTATCTCACAGGCACAAAAGAAGGTCTAATCTATTTCAAGTTATGGTTATATTATGCTAAGAAGAAGAAAAAGTGTACCTCCATCTTGCCGGTATCTGTGGAACAGATGTGTGTGTGAGTGGATTATATGGTTCCTGGCTAAGCTCTTACAAAGTAGATGATTGTCTCTCTAGACAGCTGCTGTCATGGATTTCTCTACTCAGGGTTCTCCATATCTGTGTCTGAACAGTCCTTTCTGTTTTGTGTCACCAGGTTTATATCAAGATTTATCAGGGAGAAGACCTACCGCAGCCAAAGACTATGCTCATGGTACGTATACTGTTTACGCCAGTTTGACCAGGCACTTAGTGTTGCTCTTGAGTAGGTCACTCTTTATCATCTTTACCATGTGTGTGTCTGTCTCACCAGGCCACAGCAGAGGCCAATAACTTGGCAGCTGTGGCGTCAGCCAAAGACCAGTATTACAGGAACATGGAGAAGGTGAGTTCATGTTAATCTCTGTGGTGATCCCTGATTATTATCATTCCCATTAGTCACTACTTTAAAGTGCTTGTTGCCTCAGTAATCTACAGAGTAAAGGGGGTTACATATATCATCTGTAATGTTGAATTTGAAACACCCTCCCTCTTTATGATTCTGTGCTTTTACTAAGGTGTGTGGAGGAGACCTGCCTTATGTTTCTCCAGATTCCCTGGAAGAGAAACATCAGTTTTTCTTCCGGGAGGCTCTTCACGTCTTTGCATCCACCAAGAAGATGGGCGGGCAGGAGTTTTGTAACCGTTACCAGGTGAAACTGGAAAAGGAGCTATTGGAAATGTGGGAGTCATACCTGAAGCACAACGAGGTAAAGAGTGGTTTGTTTTACCCTCTTTTATTATCTAAGTATAAAAATCAATTAATGAAGGTAAAACGTGGTCAAACATGATTTAATTTCAGTTTTGTTCCTGATCACTTTCTCTTTGTATTCAAAGTCCAAAAACCTCTTCAGCGCCTTCCGGACTCCTGCTGTGCTCTTTGTCCTGGTGTGCCTCCTCTACGTGCTCTCTGGTTTGCTTCTTTTTATCGGCCTGTCCACCTTCGCCATGTTTTGCGACTGCACTCTTGGTGCGGTCATGGTGGCCATGCTGACGTGGGCCTTTATCCGCTACTCGGGTCGGTACCGAAATGTGGGAGGAGCCATCGACCAGGCTGCCGGCGTCGTTCTGGAGCAGGTGAGAATAAAGGGAGAGAGGCATTTGTGTCTCAAAGCTTTCATTGCTGGATTCTGTTTTAGTGTAATGCACCAGTTACAGCCACTAGAGGGAGTGCTTGTTGTAGAGAGCAACAAAACCACCAGGATTAAAAATAAAAAGTCTGGTTCTCTAAATAAAAACGGCTTATACAACACATTTGAATAGTGTGAATTTCCACTTTAGTGCTAGTTTAGAGGTTTAAGTGTCTGAGCAGATAGCTTTGTCCTATGTTAAGCTTAAATGCTTCAGGGATCTGGGGAAAGTTCACAAACTAGTTAAAGCGGTTGTGCCCGAGGAGTTTTCCTGAGCCTGAATAAAGTGCGTTCAAACCTTTTCAGAGTAAACTTGAAAAACTTTAGCAACGAGGACACTAAGTGGAGCTCCCTCACTAAGCTGATCTTGGAAAGTGTTGGTAACGTGAAGTCTGAAAGTTTGAAATGCCTGTAAAAGTAGAAGTTACTTTCAGCTGTTTGCTTATTAACAAGGGGGTCTGTACGGGTAGCGCTGCATGTTTGATTTGTCAGGTTTTTATGCTGGAGACCCTTCCTGACACAACCACAAAGGGGATTTTCCTTGCCTGGCTTTTTACCACCGTAAAAATATTCGGCAGTAGAACAAAAAACGGAAGAAAACCATGAATCAACACACAAACATTACCTGATGCTGCTGAAGTGAAGCAGAGCAAAGGTTTGCAGAGGTTTAATTAGAGGCTCAGCTAAGCATTTTGCAATTTCGCATAACTTTAAAAAGTTTAACTTTCTTCAGTATTGAACAGCAGAAATTAGGCTTTCTTGTTGGAAATCATTTAAATTAAAACAAACAAACAAACAGCGACAGTGCTGTAAACAACAGTAGACTGGTGCGTAATAAGCAAGTGAATAATGCAGAAAACAGATTTTTAGATGGGAAACTGTTCCTGAAGAACACTGAGAGAGAGAGAGAGCTGTGCAGGAAGTGTGATTTTTATCATGGTGGAAGCAAAAGTAAGAGGGAATTCATGACGATGTTTATGTAAAGCGAAATGTGAAGCTTAGTTTAGGTCTTCTTTTGCTGCTGGTTTTGAGACAACCTGCAGCTTCAGAATCTAGCGCGAAAAAATGGTAAACACAAAGTGCGGACCCGCCAACGCATCAGAATCCGTGAGCAGTCGGCTTTCAGCCTCAGCGGCGTGAGAAAGCCACATCTCACTGATTCTGATGCATCGGTGGGTCCGCGCTTTGTGTTTACGTCTTTGTGCAGAATCCTTGTACCTGCTCTCTTTTACTGTTTAAGTTGTTTGGTGGTTGTTGAGATTTTGTGAGGTTTAACCTGAGATTCTGGTGTTTCTGGCAAAATAAATTTATATTTAAAAGTTGGATTTTAATAAATCGATATCATGTTATTCAAGCGAGAATTGATTTTAATCAGAAAATCGATAAGGAGGTGGTGAAGAAAGGAAAAACATTCAATGCATTTAAAAAATGACAGAATCAGAAACATCAGGCATCATTTTTTGTGCAAAAATTATAAATTCCTTCAAAAAGAATATGGGACCACACAGGTTAATTATGTGGGCTGCTAGAAAGCTGACCGCCTCAAGTTGTTAAACTGTGTTTAAACGACTCTGATTCATTACTTGATAATCACCAAAAAGCTGTGAATTTTTTTTCCTTGCCCTCTAAACTTCTCCTGTGGTCACATTTCTTAACTTAGGGCTGATAAATTAGAAAAAAATTACTATTTCTTATTTTTAACCACGTGAGAAAGCAAAATTGTTTGTAGTTGATACAAACTGCACACAAATGTGACTGACCTATGGAGATAGCTGCATGTGTTTTCTGGTTTCTCCACGAAGACATTAACATCGTTGGCTTTGGTTGTTCACCAGGCAGGAATTGTGAGAGGAGAAGTTTAAACCCTTCCCATTTTCTTGCCTTCATTCACCTGGCTGGTGGCAGCATGAAGTGGATATCCAGCCCACTGGACTCTCGCCTGTGGCTCTTCTGAGGGACTTCGAGCCAATTTTTTTATAGGTCATCCTAGGTCAGCTACATGGTCTCCTTTCAGAATACCTCACCTGGGGTGCATCCTAGTCAGATACCCGAAATTGCTGCTGCAGTAAATGAAAGTAATCTGTCAGTATGAATAAATAAAAATGTATATTTACAGATTACGTGTGTAACTATATGTACACATGTAATCTGTAAAATTACAAAAGTTCTAGTAGCTCTCTGCCAAGACATGGCAGTGGGGAAGGTCCCTTATCAGTTGGAAAAGCTGCGAAATTTATGAAAATTAATGCTATCCTTTAGTTGTTTCAAAGCCATCAGCGGGCTAGACATGAGACTTTGCCTGCCCAGTTCTGGCCCCCAGGCCTTATGTTGATACCCCTGCTCCAGAGGAAGCTAATTTCCGCTGCTCATATCTGTGATCTCATTCTTTCCGTCCCTACCCTCATGGCCATAGGTGAGTTAGATCTACTAGTCTATGGACAGCGCTGCGTTCACGCCTTTACCACAGCAGACCAGCATGACGTGGACATGAATGTCAGAAAGTCTAACACTGGGGACACCAATGTGGGAGGGGAGTGGATGGGGTGCTACACCCCTGTTTCCTGCACCCTACCCGGTGTAGGGGTGGGATGTTGTTTCAGAGGGTGCATCCGTTCACCCGCACTCTAGAGGGGGGATGCGTGTGTGCGTGTGTGCGTGTGTGAATGATTGGCCTGCATGTTTGTTTATATAAGTGTACACGGTTAATTTGTCTGTGTGTTTGGGTGTGGCTGGGCCTGAGCTGCTAGAGTCTATAGAGCTCATCTTGGAGCAGTCCAACACTGAGCTGCTGTGTGGGGCGGACATGTCTGAAGCTGCTGAGCCATCTGACGAGCAGCTGAAGCTGAAGGAGTATATTTGTTATCACATTGTGGTCCAACTGTATAACACATGCCAGTTTTTACCAGTTATTTGCAGACTGTGTTGGAGCTTGATGGCCTACATACAGCAGACTTATCAGGGCTTGTTTTCTGAAAGTGGCTCGACTGTTACTTCTTGTAACTGAGCTGATAAGAGAGGTGAGACTGAACCATGACCATGCAATAAATGTCTGACCCACGAAGCCTCAACAATGAACTACTGAAGGCCAGTTTGATGGTGCTCTTTGTGGATTATTGTAATGCTTTCACAAATATTTTTTGTTGAACAATGGTGATTATTAAGAACAGATAGAAATAAAAATGTATGATGTATGTATCCAACATGAAAAAGGACTGAAACAGAAAATGAAAGTGTTCCAGCCCTCAGAGGCTGTCTGAAGTCCATTCTTGAATCTTGAGTTCACTTTCCTTACAAGTTCCTCGACCGTGCCATCGCTGGCAGAGTTTAAAAACGGTGATGGATACAGCAACCAGAACTGAAGTCAGTGAACACTGCAAGCACTCACATCAGCTCTCTCTCTCCTGTTCTTTCTCCTTTCAGGCCACTGTGATGCTGAACAAGTCGAGAGGGACGAGCATGGTGGAGCACAAGAAAACCCGTTAAAAGACCTCCACACTCTCTTCATAATGCAAAGCAAACGGCGCCCACAGCAAACACACAGTCAGCACCCAAAGCCTTATCATGCCACCCAAACTCAACAACACTGACACGGGGTAGCGAGATGATGCCACTTCACCAGCATCTCTATTATGCACAATATTCTGCCTGTTAACGGTTCTGTTATTCTCTAAGGCAGGGACGTAAACTGTATTTTATGTCTTAAATTGACACTGCCATCACTTTACAAGTTTACAATTGGTCTTAATAGACAAGTCAAAGTTTACCTTAAACCTAAAAACACTTTTATTTTCTACTTCAAGCTTAATGCATCTTCGTTGGCCGTATGTTGCTAAGACAGGGTTTCTGCAGTGTATCTTGAAATAGTTTCCTAAAATGCTAGCTTTAAAGCGTATACATTTATTCAGGTTCCTGTGAGGTTTTCTTTGTTTTCACTCATTGACTTTAAAACATTCCAGCTTGTTTGTAGATTGGCTTCATATTTTAACATGAACTAGCATTTCTTGGGAGGCTTTGAGGGGAGAGTAAACAGTTTTTTGCTCTACACAGCACAGCATGGAGGCTGTATGTAATGGGAGATTCACTTGTTTGTTCTTTTATGGAAATATGCTATACTTTGTTGATCTGAGTACTAAATAATAGACCACATGGAAAAAAAAAAAATATATATATATATATACACATATATATATATATATATATATATATACACACACACACTCATACACTCCATAAAAAATTCCAAACGAAAGACAGTATTAGAATGCTGATAACTGTTGATTGACCAAATAAACTGCTTTCATTATGTTGTGAGCGCTAATGTAAAATTTTAATCATGTCAAAAATCAGTGAGTTTAAGCGATAATACAGTCCACAGCATAAACAAGATAATTCTGTCTCTTTAAAGACATTTAAACATGCTAGTAATTTAATTGGAGACATACGTGAAACTAATGGCAAGCAAAATGTATGAATAGAACAAGAAAGCAGGAGAAATGAGCAGAAAACTGTAGCACAGCTGTCATCCTGAATTTTTGTACAAGTGTTTCATTTTTCCGAGGGCTGCAACACTTAGACGGATTATTATCATGTAACATATGATATTGTTAGTCATGCTTTCCCCTCAAATGATCTTGTGATGTTTTAAGTGACGGGTAATGGTCTATACTGTCAGCAGAGAAATAACATTGTGACACCCCACCCTATTCAAAAGCCCCACTGGTAAAATAGCTGTAAGTTAAATTAATGTTTAAACTGCTTCACATTAATTTGTTCTATAAAAAGACTGTTTAAATATTTGTTAAGCTGTGTGAGGTAAAACTTGGAGTTACCTGGCTCCCAGTTCAGCTCAAAACTACCATTTCATATGACTGACTTTTACTGCGAAAGAAAAATAATCAATATGGGCTTGATTCTTACATTCTTGTTTGCATGCAGCAAGTTAAACATTTAATCTTTAGCAAATCAGCAAGTTGTACTGAGAAATAAAAAGCTGGACCACTCAGTGGATTTATTATATTTTAGTTTGTCTTTGTGGGGCCAAGCAGGGGCTGCTCCAGCCAGCTCAGAGTAAATCAGGTAGTGGATTAAAGGACGATGATTATTTGTAGCTATGCCCTACATCTCTAAATATGATAACGTGCATGATAACATGAAGATGGCTCCTGTAACTATGCAGCAGTATGCACTTTAATAACTATTCCAAAAAAAAAAAATCTCCAAAAAGCTGTACAGTGATGCTTTATTCTCACAGTGATACCATATTACTCTTAATGATACAAATCCACATAGTAAAGGGCCAAACATTTCCAAATTGAATATGATATTGAATATTTGTGATTTTTGACCATCATTTTGCACTTTCCATTTCTGTCTCTTTCCACAAGAGGAGGGAACTGTTTAAATTGTTTTTAAAAAAGCAGTTATTATTGCACTTCCCCTCTTCTTTGGTGCTTTTTGTACACAGCTTGTTCCAAAGGCGAGCAAATGCATGCAAGTAGTCCCAGCTAATGCAGTCATCTCTTGCAGGTGCATGGTGGCTTTAACTTGAGAAGTGCTGTTTTATAAAGAATAAACAGGAGCCTCAAACTGTTGATCCAGCGTTTCTGGTCTGTTCATTTCTCTGCCCTTTCTACCAGCAGGCTTGCCTCTGTGAATAAGCAAATCAGCACAGTTACAAAAATACTACTTATGCAAAGCTCTTACATCGCCATTGCATTTGATGTAACTGCGCAGCCAAAGAATTGATTGCCACAGATTGCTTTTGAATGATATTGGATTAGATTAAATCACATTAAACTCTGTTGTCATCGTGCAGCGAGAGCCTAGCAAAATGCTGTTCATAAAACTACATAGTGCAAGCAGTACTCAAGTGAATGTAGGTCTTCTAAACACGGATTATTGCACAAATGAGCAAAACACTGATAAAGAGAAAGTGTAATAGTACAGGATACATGTGTGTTTACAGTACAAATAATCAAGCAGTTTACATTATGTAATATTCAGTCCAATGAACGAGTAATGCACATAAACAATGAGTCAATACAGTATGTCATGTAGCGTGTAAAGTATATGTACTAGTAATACAAAGTGGGTACTATGTGGTAGGTATGTAGCTACAATATGAACAATAATAAATTGTAGGCTACTGAATGAGTTATTGTAGCTGTCTCCATTAATATGTGTTGCATCTTTGTCCAACAAACTAACTGTATTTTTTATAGTTTCCCCTCTGTACCCCACCACGGTGGATTTTAAATCAATCAATATGGGATTGGATTTTAGACTTTAATTCAAGATATTTATCTGAAGTGTTGCATTAACTGGTTAGAAATTACAATACTTTTTATACACAGTCCCCCGTTTTCCCAAATTTGAGGATAACAATTAATTGGACAGTTGACTGACAATTATTTTCATGGCCAGGTTAAACCTGGTCCCTCTTATTTCATCACAAATGAAGCAAACATTGTGTGAACCTGATTCAGTGTGTGAAATTTATATTTTACAGCTTTGGCTTTAATTTTAAATATGGGGACCAAGGAGATGTCAGTACAGGTGAAGGAGGCTGGAAAGACCACACAAGAAAATTTAAGTGCATGATGACAGAATTGTTTCCATGCTTCAGAAAAACACCTTCATACCATCAAACCATGTCAGGAACGCTCTCAAGCAGGTAAGTGTATCATTGTCAAGGTCTAAATTCAAGCCACACCTTCATGAATGGAAATGCAGAGGTTTTGGAACAATGTACCAGGAAACGCATGGGCAGATAAAACCAAGATTAACTTGTACCCGAATTTGTTTATTACAGGACAGTCTAGGCAATGAGGCAACAGTTTGTTTGTTTGTAATTTTACACATTTATTTCTTACAAATTAAGTCCAAAGAGTCCCACTGACAGATTTATTTCATTAATTTGAACTTACTACTAAAAACAGTACTCTAATGTGTAGTTAAAATTCTTTACACTGACAGAAAGGGGAGTTTAGATGGTCTGGCCCACTTGAAATATGGCCCATAATGTAAAAGTTTGACATCCCTGGTCTAGGCCCTTAGAAAGCAGGGATTTTATAGTAAGTTTTACTTGCAGATAAGATAAAAATTCTTAATCCTTTCAAGAGTTTTACTCCCCACATAAAGGGAAAGATATTCCACTAATGGCACCTCATTTCTGTAGCACTTTAACATCACATGAGAATAATTATGTTGTATTTAAAATATATCAAATTCTCCTCCTGGAGCCATTCCCAGCTGGCAGTAAAAGAGATGCCTAAAATTATAGGCAATATAATCCTTTTGAATAAGTGAAAGCCTTACTTCTCCTTTTATATGTTCATAGAAAGCATTAACCCACCAGTGAGGGAACTCGGGATGTATACAAGCCATAAGAAAGGACAGCTTTGTTGACATGTGTTTCATTTTAATGACTTAGATCCACAGCGATAAAGGAAACACTGTCCATCTCTTTGCTGCCCTCTCTTGTAGTCTTTAATGTATATATAGTGTTGTTCTTTTTTTAAACAATGAATGAAAGGCCATGACACCATCTTTGTTTTTATTCCGCGTAATGAATGTAGGTCAGTTTGCAAGCAGCGTGTTTACATAGCATCGCCGTAACTCGACCCATATTCCGCATAAGTCTGCGTGCACGAACTGAAATTTTTGCCTCATTTCACACCCTGTATACATGCACGGACTCTGCTATCCGCCTCACGTGTCATTCTCGTCATTCATTTTCCACGCTGGCTTCGTTCTGCCTGAACATCCGCCCCTCGTCCTTTCCTCTCTCCCTGACTGCGTGCCGACGCCGTCCGTACAAAAACTCCGCTACAGCGAATTTCGGGTCCCTTGTTTCCTTATATGGTGATGAGCGTCGCAGCCTGGCCCCTCCCTGAAACTGTGAGCGAGGCGCGTGCACTAACCGCCGCCGCCGCTCACCGTTCGCTTCCATATTTGGAAGTGAGTTCGACAAAAACCGCAAGGAGGGGAGGGCAGGGGAGAGGAGAGGGGAGAGGAGAGGAGAGAGGAGAGGAGAGGAGAGAGGATGGATGATGAAGATTTTCCTCCCACTCTGGAAACCCGCTCCGCGTCCGGCTGGGAGATGAATGTCGGTCATTAAACAGTGACAGACTGGTCTCAACTATCAAACACCCCTCACGCGGTTTATGTAATAATTATTACGGCTTTTAAAGGGCAGTTAAAAATGGCAACTGGAATAAACGCTGCAGTCGTGCTAATTTTACTCATCATTAAGTACCACTGAAGGTTAAATAGGTCTCACTTGCCGAGATTTGTAGGTTTTTTCACATTTTAAGAAAAACACATATTCCCATAATGCACTCTGTTATCGGTTTGGTATGTTTGATTTGTTCACGTACACTTGCCGCCACCACCCTAATGAAATATACATATCGTTAGCTTCATAGCATAAGTGCCTAAGTCATTGACTTAGTCAAATGACTTAGGCAATTATGCTATGAAGCTAACGATATATCAGATGGCAATGGGAAAATTGTGAAACGATACATATTATATATTTAAAAATATTATATATTTAAAAATGAGTTGACAATTAAACCAGGCGCCACTTAGTGCCTGGTTTCATTTTGCGTGGATTAGATTCGAGGCCCTCTCTGTGTTATCGTCATGTTTGTTAATGACCAGTAGGCACAACAGCCGGACTACCGCGGTTAACAGACATTCACTCCCGCTCGTGCACTTTGGTCTAACCGGGGCCGCGCTTAAGGGCGCGTTCACGCTTCGCATCCAGTGTTTGTGAGCAAGAGCGACGATTCAATCGCCTTTTCAATTTCTACGAGACGCAGACGAATCCAGAGCTACAGCTATGGTAGGTTTAACACAGCCTTTTCGTACTTTTTATGCATTCTCGATGGCTTTTCTGCCTAATAATGACTCAGTTTAAGCCCGCGGGGAATTTTAACTGGGTTTAATTTGTAAGTGTTTTAGCGTCACTCGAGCCGGCTGTATGCCGCAGGAGCCTGTGCTAGCGCTTGGCTAGGCTGGGGAGCTGACTAGGAAACTGGATGGCTAATAATGCCGTAACGCAGTGTAGTCTTTCAGTGTTCGCATTCAGTGAACTTTCCGAGCGGCAATTTTCACACGATGGAGATAACAGACTAGGTTAATCACTAACGATTTTTTTTTTTAAGTAAAAGCCACTGGCGCCATTTCGTTCATCTCCCAAGTGTTTCGCCGAAAAATAGCCGCTTTATCGAGGGGCCCCTGTCTGAGTTAACGTCCGCACCGTTGCCATGACACTGCTCCGGTGTTTCCACTGCATCATGTTTCAGTTATTTCACCTGTGCTCGCCCGTGTTCCCGCATCACAGGGCTGCGGCGCTGGCAGGTGCAGCAGCACCCGTGCCTCCGGGGCTGCCCGGCTAGCTGTATTGTTAGCCGGAGTAGCTGCGTTACAGTGCAGCCAGAAATGACACCCATTATGGCGCTAGCTGAAATTTTCTTCTTTGTCTGTACACGGCTCCCATACTGACGCTGTTGTTTTAAGTGCAGGTGCATTCGTAAAGCATTATTATTATATTATCCCACAGTGAGGGCAAAAGCACAAACCGCATGATTGTGGTGGAGGGACGCCGTGAGAATAAATGTGCGATTTGACAGACGACCGGTCCCTTTTAGAGCAGTTTTGCCTTATATAGCAAGCTAGCGTTCACATGTGCGTGTGCTGCATTCATGGCCCCACCCTGAATTTGGTGCAAAGACCATTTTGTTTGGGGCTGTATTTTTTTTATTTTTTATGTCTCAGCGATTAGATTGGACCTATCGCAACTGCCCCCCCGTAGCTTTACTCCGTTTCTTCAGGGAGGAACCGCATCTTTGACCGGATTATTACCGTTATGAAACACCAATTTGGCAGCGTTAGGGGCCGCTTACTAGAAGCTAGCGGGGCCGCTGTGTCTTCACGTTCGGCGCTGCGCATCTTTTATTTTGCGCTGCGCATCTAATTCATACAGCTGTTTACTCACGCGGGTCGGGGGGAAAATAAATAGATGTCTATTCATTCATTCATTCATATGTGAAACACTAGAGAAGCAGGGATAGTTTTCCCCCACCGCCCCCAAAGGGAAAAATAATGTTTATCTAAGTACTATCGCCATTTTCCTCGCTATCCTCACAGACGTGCACTAAATCACCCCGAGAGTCTAGACATAAGCCTGCCGTGGTCTTCCAGTGAAATTGTCCTGCAGCATAAAGGTGAGAGGCCTGTAATCCTGATAAGGAAGACTTGGACTGTGACTCCTTTGTACTGATTCAGTTGAACCTTGGCGTCAGTGATTATCATTAGATAAGATTAGAGCTGGGTCTGAGCTAGGGCTGAACGATTATGGAAAATAATCTAATTGCGATCTTTTGCCCCAATATTGCGATTGCGATGCGATATGCGATTATTTTTTAAGGTATTTGTCTTCTGTATTATTAAACAAAGACAAGCAATACATCATATAGTATGGCCAATACTATATTACATTAATTTTAAACTGTTCTTTCCTGGAAGACAGACCTCTGTTATGATGACATGAGGTGATGCATGAATTGATGACTGACATTTTTAT